TCACAAGCGTCGAACCAATTTTGTGTTTCTAGACCAGTTTGTTTCCAAACAGACTATAGGTAATTAAATTCGTTTACTCCATATACACCAAAATCTGCTGTGTACCATCAGCTGAGTTTACTGGACCTCAGAAGCATAAAGGTAATGGTAAAGCTATCCCTGTAACAGGGTTGTGAGGTTCCTACATTTTCTAGACAATCGGCTCACAGACGGCGCTGAGGTTGTCAGCCTTACGTGCCGGCCGCCCTTTACTCCCAGGAAGATTCGTGGTACTCATTTCTGTTGAAGGCTGAGTCGACCCCAGGGCCATAGTGCGGCTAGGAGGATTAGGTCAACTGAAAAAAAAAATTCAATGACCTCATCGAGAATCTAACCCCCGACCTTCCGGCTTATGTGCCAGCATAGAGGGGAATGTATCTGGAGGTAACTCACCTCAATCTAGTGCTGAGGTTAAACATGTTTGGCGTTAAATGTCCACTGCCTCACGTCTTCAGGGCTCTATGCTTAATTAAGCGCCTTCTTTGGGGGGGGGGAGCAAGAAGAGGTCTGCGCCAGGGAGAATCCACAGCAAAAAGTTGCGACTCCCCAACTCGGAGGTGAACGAGTATATATATAGTATAGCTGGAATGCTCATGACCTTGCTGGGAAGTGCTCGTTCGCTTTGGGATGCGGAGAAGTTCGTTGCCTCGGCAACAAACACTGGAGAACGAGAGAGACCGAACAGCTGACTGCTAAGGCCTGCCAACGTAAGAGCAAGAAACATTTCAAAGTCCTAGACCTGAAATCCGTGACCTGTCATAAATAAACTACGATTGTCGGTGCAGCAGAGTTCGTGGTAGATACTGTGATCAGTGTCAAGCAGAACCTAGATTAATCACGGCCCCTTACTACAGTAACACTACCCAATCACAGAGTCCCATGTTAAAGTGACGATTTCCAGTCACTGGGTCCAATACTGAAGTAACAATACTCAACGATGGTGCCTCATACTGAAATAACAAACTTAGACATTCGTCTCGTATTAAAGTAACACTGTTCAGCAATACTGAAATAGTAACACTACCTAAAAATAACCCATATTGAAGTAACAATATCCAATTACAGGGTCCGATATTTAAGAATAAATACCCGATCACAGGGTTCCATATTGAAGTAACAATATCCAACCACATGGCCCGATATTACAGAATAAATAACAATCACAGGGTTACATACTGACGTAACAATATCCAACCACAGGGCTCCCATACTGAAGAAACAATATCCAACCACAGGGCCAGATACTGAAGAATAAATAACCAATCACAGGGTTCCCATACTGAAGAAACAATATCCAACCACGGGGCCCGATATTGAAGAATAAATAACCAATCACAGGGTTCCCATACTGAAGAAACAATATCCAACCACGGGGCCCGATATTGAAGAATAAATAACAATCACAGGGTTACATACTGACGTAACAATATCCAACCACAGGGTTCCAATACTGAAGAAACAATATCCAACCACAGGGCCCGATATTGAAGAATAAATAACGAATCACAGGGTTACATAGTGAAGTACGAGTAACAATACACAACCACAGGGTTCCCATACTGAAGTAACAATACCAAATTACAGAGTCCCCATACTGAAGAAACAATATCCAACCACAGGGTTCCCATACTGAAGTAACAATACCAAATTACAGAGTCCCCATACTGAAGAAACAATATCCAACCACGGGGTTCCTATACTGAAGTAACAATACTCAACCATGCTGCCCTGTACTAAAATAACAAATTCAACCATTCGTCTCATATTAATAGAAAAATACTCGATAATGAAGTAACAACACCCAACCACTGGGTCCCACATTGAAGTAACACCAAACCACTGGGTCTGGTACTGAATTAATTCAATCCGGTGCATAACTGATTTAGCAACTTCCTCATTACCCATTTAAAATATTAGCATCCAACGTCCGATCATGGAGCAGTACTATTTGTATGACGGACGACCAAATCATATTATAACGAAACTTTTCTCGAATCTCGGTCGGGTTACGAACTATCTTGTTTTCCACAGTATCTCTTGGCGAGTGCCGGAAAAATGACCTTGAAAGATGTCACAGCATCTGTACCGAGCTTACTGTAGCGCTTGTATAATGAAATTTAGCCCGGACATCGGCTATTCTGACCGGCCCTCTTTGTAATGTTCCTCGGCTCCTACGGACAACCGCCGGAAAAGCATCCTGATTAGACGACATCTTCGTTCCAAATCGTTCAAATCAATTGTTTGTCAATCATAGTACCATTCGCTGCCATACTGAGATACAGACTGCGGCGTAAAATATGCCACAAGTTACAGCAAGCCTTCCCAATTTTTTATTTTACAAACATTAATAACCACTTTTTCCACACCCCCCCCCCCTTTCACCAACGTTACGCACTTGCAACCTCGTCAAAGAGATCTCGGTCTTCCAAACGGATGGGGGCACGCGGTCGCCTAGTTGGTTGGTACACTATGCTACAAGCCGGAAGGTCGCGGGTTCGATTACCAATAATCATTGGATTCCTTCAATTTACCTACTCCTTCCAGCTGCACTATCTTGCTAGGGGGTAAAGGGCGACCGGCGCGTAGGGCTGACACTCTCACCGCCATCTGTGAGCCGACTGTCTACAAAATGTGGTAGCCTCGACGTCTCACAACCCTATTGGCTTCCGCGGCCTGTTAGAGGGATAGCTTCGAAACGGACGCTTTTAAACAGGTCTTTCATTAAAATTCGTGAACCGGGATAAAGGCTGGACGAACAAGGAACCGAAGTGTTTTCTCTTCTCGATAGCACCAAGACCGGCTCTGCAGCTCAGTCTCTTCTACAAAGGGTAACCGCGAGCTGTTTGCCCTACGGTAAAGCGGCCGGGGCACGAAGCTGAACAATTACCCCCATCTAGTGCTGAGGTTAAGAATGGTACAGCTGTAATTCCACTACAGGACATAGTGCTTAAACCAATTAAGTACAGAGATTACTTTAACTTCATCTCAACTCCAACTAAATTTATGCATTCGGAGCCACATGTGTAATTCGAGGTTACATCTCTGATTAAACTACAGACCCATAACTGTATCAAGAAAAAACAGTTACGAGGAAATTCGCCCTTCATTCTTCATTTTATTGGTCCCTTTTTGATCCGAAACACATCCTTGGTATTTACTTTCCAAATAATTGCAATTACTGTTCTTCCCTCAGAGAAGGCGCTCATGTTACACAAAACAAACGCACCCTACAGGTGCGCGGACAGACTAGCGTAAAAACGCTCCCTGCGGTTACTGGGAAGGTTTCTTAACAAGGGCTGCGTTACCCAGGCAACAGCGCGGAGACCCGAGCAGCTGACACCAGCCTGACGAACGGTAAGGGGTGGAGAGCGGATAAGCCGAGTGCGACTCTAGCGAATATTAGGGCCCGGTTACCCAACGGCACATACCACGATGATATATCGCGATGTTGACCGCATTCATAGGTAGTCGGTATAGCGACTGGAGGTTCGGTGTTGAGTCCCGGTAGGGTCAAGAATTTTCTGTTCTCCACGTCGTCCAGATTTGCTCTGGGCTCCACACAACTTCCTATCCAATGGGTACAGGGGGGCTCTTTCCCCGGGGGCAAAGCGACCGGGGCGTGAAGTTGGCCACTCACCTCCAGCTAGTGCCGTGGTCAAGAAAATTTGGATCTATACAACCACTCCCCCATACGCCTTCATGGCGTAATGCTTAATTAGTTAATCAAAGGGACAACTTTACCTGTACATTCTTGTGACTGCACAGCCCTAATGCCTATGCTCACTTACTGCAGAAATAGGCCTATGACCGCAAACAGGTGTTGTCCTGGAAAATTGCCTAACTTGCATAACTTCAGCCCGAAATATAAGCAGGTAGGCCCTAAGTCTATTGCTGCAGGTGAAATATCCACGAATGTTTGTGTCCATAGGGACTACAACTTCTCCAAACATCACTACCTTATACTTTACATACGCAAAGGGATCTATAAACAAAGCAAAAATCTGCAAGTGAATGGTTGAGCTTTATTAACATAGTTCTTATGCTTGAGCAAACTGTGACATTTCATATTTTCCCGAGGATGAAGATTCTTTGTATGCGGTATTTCTTGCCGCTGTCGGCAGCCACATTACACAGCGTCGAATGGTTAGATGAACAACAGGAGAGGGATTTTAACGAAACTGTCGTGGCCTAATTGAGACTCTATCTGGGAATTTGCCTACAGGGACTGAGGAATGCCACGAAAATCCTTACCTAAGGCAACCGATGTACTGATAGATTCGAACCGAGCACCTCTCGAATACAAGATTTCAGTGTTCACCAACCACTTCGGTGAGATTCATTCTGTAGTCTAATAGGTTATTCACCTACCAGACTACACGGCACCACACAATCCCACAATGTAAATGGTGGCAGGTATTCTTCAAGTTGTAACCACCACTTGGGTCTAACCCAAGTAATAACTTAAAAAAGGTAAAATTATCCCTGTAACAGGCTGTGGAGGCCCATGTGGTTGTGAGACGTTGAGACTCCCACATTTTCGAGACAGTCGGCTCACAGGTGCTGGTAAGGTTGTCAGCCTTACGCGCCGGCCGCCCTACACCCCTCAGAATGATTCCTGGTACTCATTTCTGTTAGAGGCTGGGTCGACCTCAGGTCCATAGTGCGGCTGGAGGGTTAGGTCAACTGAAAAAAATCCAATGACCTCATCGGGAATCGAAACCGCAACCTTCCGGCTTGTACCAGTGCCTCAACCAACCACGCTACCGCGTGCCCTAATTATACGTCCTCTACACACTCAAGTTACCACTAACTGATAAAATAGAGTGACATGGTATGAACTGTGAGCCTGTTGGCAGCACTGAATACCTGCTCGCCATAGGTCACTTCATAAACACGGGGAAGTCCGGTAAGTAAACCTGGCAACACTGTGCACTCAGAAACATCCCGCGGCACGGGCTTACCTCAGACTGTCGCATCGTGAGTTATCTTCCTGAGGAAGGTTACGGTCGGGTATGGCTTCCGCCTTCAGAATTTTGAGCAGCTTCACGTTCTGGTCCTTGGCTTGCGGAGGATACATGTAGTAATTGCTCTCCGAGAAATGTTCGCTGCAAACCCGCAACTGGAGCCTACACCTCTTCCTGTTCCAGCCGGAATGCGGGATACGCAACAACTGCAGCCATTTCTCCGCGATGTGATTCCTCCGCCAGGGAAAACTGTGGTAGGACACTGCTACATCCGTCGTGGAGGAAACCTCCTCAGAGTTGTGCACGGCCGAAGAATTGGGGCACGTCTGCACGGCGCACACACGGGACACCATCTTCGTAACACTGCTCTACATCACAGCCCTGCTATGACAAATCCATCGCCCCGGCAGGATGATGGATGATGACTGAGCTACACGTGCACCATCAGGACAGAAATATTAGGGGCTCTCGACGGGTGGGAGGGACCCGGGCACTGGTCAAAAGGGTAAGCCATATACATCCCCTTCCCCCGTCCAGGGGTATCACAGCTTGCAATTTGGTGGACACATCTCGACACAACAAATATTCCTCAAAATGGGACCAGACGGCTTCTGCGTTAACGATATTCATGAGGCTGAGACAGTAGTTTATAGTACATACGGTGTATAACACTATATATACGGACTGGCTACGGACAGGACGACTGAGGGGTCTGAGTGCCCGGTGGGGGCAAGAATTTTCACTTCTCCACGTCGTCCATACCGGCTCTGGGCCCACCCAGCCTCCTATCGAATGGGTATTTGGATCTCTTTCCCCAGGGGTAAAGCGGCCAGGCGTGAAGCTGACCACTCACCTCCAACTAGTGCCGAGGTCATGAAAACATGGTTCCATACATCCACTCCCACATACGTCTTCATGGCGTAGTGCTTATAAGTTGAGCGCAAGGACAGCTTTACTTTTTAGATACAGTGTATATGACAACGGTGGATCCACTCGGTTTCCGTAGAAAATTAAAAAATTTACGCTTTAAGTATATGACGTAATAATTATAAATAAAAATACGAACCTGACGATGTAACACATATGCTGAAACATGTCCTAAACAGCAAACTCCACCTGCTGGAAACAGTGCTACTGACGGGAATATAATAAACGTTATTTTGTTCGAAATATTGTCAAAATCTGCCCAGTAAGACCCTACATGAACTGCGCGATTAGCCACAACCATGCGAACATTTATCACTGACCCAAGAACAAAGCACGTTGCCTTGTGATCTGCATAGAACAGGCCTACAAACAAAACAAAGCTCGCATGATCCCTGACCTGGCTGAAGCTGCTCCCATTCCCATGTAATGAACATTACCGAGACTGTTTGTTCTTCATGAATCGCTGTTGCCAGCCTATCGGCGGTTATGCGAAGCAAGAAGTCTGTGCTTCAAAACTATCCCTTCAAGAAACAGGATTCGTGGTGAAGCTGCTTGCTTAGCTTAATTGCATATGTCAATAAAGTTATAAAATGTTTCATATAAAGCGACAGCACCTGCCTTTCTCGGAGAACGGCTGTCCTACCTGACACTGTCCAAGTACTCTTCAGTCTCTCCAGGAAAATATCGGCATTGTACATCAAATCAGACCACGACCACTTCCTTGCACATTCCATCCAATTCATTATTCACTAATCACGCATCTGACGTTATGGGTCTGTAACCTGAGCTACTGACCGCATCGTTAAATAAACCCAAAATGAAATAAAATGCAATTTGTGGTCAAAAATTTGTCACTGAATAAACTGCTGCGTATTTTAAATCTGTATCATCATAAACATGATCAAAATCTTGACGTGGGATATGACGACGAGTAGTCTGGTAGAAATTTGCCGACGTTTCGGCGCAACGTACTACATACAAGGAAGGATCAAAGAGTAAAACAACATTCATCGACCCTGAAGATGGACGCAGTATATTTCTAGACTAGACTATACGTTGTTACGTCCCGGAAGACAGTCAGTACTCTTCACAGTTACTGCCTCGAGAACACCAAATCCAACCCACAGGTCCCAGAGCTGTTCTGCTTCTACTAGTCTAAACAGAATTAGCCATTTTCTGGTGCGTTGCAGCTGTCTGCTTGCTGGCCACCCCTCGTACATAGTGAATAAGACCTGCCAATTCAAGGAACAGACAAGGATACAGAAAGGCCAAAGCAGGTCCATCCATTGAGGGGGCATTCTTCTGTTTGTCAGAAATAACTCTGACCTTCCCTTTCCTTCTTAGTGCCATAAAAACCTTCCAAATTCCACGATCGCAATGCCGAGCAGAAGAAGAAACAGTGGATTTTTAAAATGGAAACTGAAAAAGGAACAATAACTAAACACAGAAATATGTAGGCTTGCAACACTAATGAAAGGGAAGGATTGAAAGTCGAACCCTAGGTCTATTAGGCCTAGTGGATATACACATACTACAGAACGGCCCATAAAATAATACGTTAATGCAGGAATCATATGCGTTATAGGATGATGCCGGTTAATGCTATTCTTATCTAGAAAAAATACAACTCAGAATGGAAATATTTAGAAGAAATAGTGAAGTCTAGAGGTTTTCCAATTTACCTATCATCCAGCCGCACTATGGCCCTGGGTTCGATCAGGAATCTTTCTGGGAGGTAAAGGGCGGCCGGCGCGCAAGGCGGACAACCTCAGTCATCTGTGAGCCGACTGTCTAGAGAAAATGTGGGAGCCTCGACGTCTCACAGCCCTATGGGCCTCCATGGCCTGTTACAGGGATAGCTTTGCCTTACCTTTTTTGTTACATTATATTTTCAACATAAAATATGAACCAAAATCGCCATACTGGGTATCGCGCTGACAACGACTTTTCTTTCATAAGGTTGCCTGACCGAGGTATGACGTACGTTCAAAGACGTTTTACACTGAGTATATTTCAACTGAAGTGGCTACAGGCATACAACATAAAAAATTGGAGAGATGACTATAAATCGAATAGGCTTCAGTTTAAGAATTTGGGCGTCCTTAAGGCATTATCCAGGAAATTGCATGATAAGAACGAAAACCCTCAGGATAATAGGTTTTCCAGACAAATGTCTCCGGATACCGCTACACCAGGGTAGCATCAAAGCACACGCGGTTAGACACCGGCTACAGGTTACATCCCCCACCCCCAAGAAAGGGTAGAGTGTTGCCACTGTAGGGTCCTACTCCAGTAAAATTGCCTGTTGAGACTACTCGTGTGCAACAGCATACCGAGAAGGAAACGAACACGTGGGAGAAAGGCATCATGTACAGATTAGTCAGACCTACTGACTGGATTTATGATCAATTACAACAATTGGCGTTCATAACAAGACCCCTGCATATGGACGCGTCGAGAACAAAAACAAACACAAGACAAACTAATTGGTTTTGGTCCGCAAGCGAACTATAACGACCGAGCGACCGCCGCTTGTCGGCGAAGTTAGTGCCAAATTTAGGGGCTAGAGAGTGTCGTGTGGTCAGCGTAACGAATCCCCGCGGCCGTTAATTTCAGTTTTCTAGACCGGAGCCGCCATTTCCTTGAAACAGTTCCTCAATTATCCTCACGGGGCTGAGTGTACCCCGTTCCAGACCCACTACTTCTCAGAAAATCTGGTAGCGCCGGGAATCGAACCCGGACCTCTGGATCTGTAACCAAGAACTCTGACCACTAGACCACAGAGACGGTCAACGCGTTGAGAAAGGTTAACAAATGCTACCACTAGCCAGGCAGGGCACATACGATTTGGTTCAAAAGCTGCGAGATCACTACACAGACGGCAGGAGAATATCAGACTGAAGGATCCTGCCTTGTGGGATATAAGGCCCTGTAGCCCGCCAAGCTTAGATCCTGAAGATGGAGGCAGTACGTTCTTTTGAAATATCGGTGAACTTCTACATGACAACACCGCTTCATATTCGAGAAGCCATCACTCTTCATAGTTACCACTGTGAGAACCTAAACAACAAAATGGTTGCAAGGGAAGGTGTGAACTTGGGATGTACGTGCTCAAGATAAGATTACAGTCCCTCCTAACTCAGAGGTCTCATGTTTCTTCAGTGTCTCCAGGCGGTTGCTGTCTCCTGTCTACTGTCTATCACATTATGTCCTTCTCAGAATTATTCTGTTTCGTTTAACGACCCAATTCAAGCACAATATTAAATATCACGTCCCCACATTACATTTTTCCTTCTGCCTCTGCAAGTTACTACTGGTTCACTTCGCGGTACGAGCTCACTGCTCAGGTAATCCAGACGTTCGTTGTGTTCACGAAAACCGAAGATTCATCACCGTGCTTACAGAGGCCCGAAACAATCCTGTCCTGAACCAGATGAATCAACTTCACTCATCCTTTCATCCAAACGCCTCTATTGCGGCTTTCGGACCGATATATTGAATTCATGTCCGTCCTCCAGTGCACGTTCCGAGGTGTCACACGAGATTAAACAACCACGAAGCAACTACAACAGATTGTCTGACAATGGTAGAGTTGTCCCTCTGCTTAACCAATTAAGCTCTATACCATGAAGACGTATGGGGGAATGGATGTATAGATCCACATTTTCTTAACCTCGGGCACCAGTTTGAGGTGGTCAGCTTCACGACCCAGCCGCTTTACCCCCGAGGAAAGAGCAAACGTTACCCATTGTAAAGGAGGCTGGGTGGACCCCAGAGCCGGTCTGGACGACGTGGAGAAAATTCTTTATCCTACCGGGACTCGAACACCGGCCCCTAGCCCGTCCAGTCCGTAGCCAGTCGCTATACCAACTGAAGTATCCCGGTTCCAGATTGTCTGACTATGGCAGACACATTATCAAAACCCATTCTCTAAGATTCCTTCTTATATCATCCTTAATTAATTTAATTCGCTTAGTGGGGGGGTGGAGTCCAGTTGGGTCCACTCGGACGGCGGCCAGTGACTGGCCTATTGTAGCCTGCCCCGGGCGATTATGATGATGGAGAATTTGGTGGAATGAAGATTGGCAGGGGAAACCGAAATACTCGGAGAAAACCTGCCCCAGCGCCATTTTGTCCACCACAAATCCCACTTGATCAGACCCGGGATCGAACCCGGGCCGCTGCG